ATGTAAGGGCAAGGACTGGTTGTAAGTCACTTTTCTCAGTGCTTGAACAGGCGCTAACAAATGGTTGTAAGTTGAGGACTACCTGTATACTAAGCAGAGAAAGCCTGCAACCAGTTTTCAGCAGTTGTCTGTAGGAGTTTGATGGGATTTGGAAGCCACCTGTGGCCCTTAGACATCAGGATTACTACACCTGCATAAGTGTTAAGGTTTGAAAGCCATGTGTAGTCTTCAATGTTCAGGGAGGAATTGAAAAAGTGGAAAGAGGCCTTGCACCAAGAGTACCCTTTCTTGCAGAGATGAAGCCTTTTAAAAGGAAAACAAATGAATACACAGTCTTTATATTGGAGGCGTTCTGTTTTGCCAATTTCCCTTCCCAATGACGAATTAAGATGATTTGGTAAATTTGGGTTGAATAATAGATAGATACATTTATAATACTGTTCCCCTGTAGTGCAAGGTGATCAAACCAGTCAGTCCTAGAGGAGATCAACCCTGACTGCTCTTTAGAAGGCCAGATCCTGAAGTTGAAACTCAAGTACTTTGGCCACCTAATGAGAAGGAAGGACTCACTGGAGAAGGGCCCAATGCTGGGAAAGATTGAGGGCAATAGAAGAAGGGGACGACAGAGAACGAGGTGGCTGGATGGAGTCACTGAAGCAGAAGGTGTGAGCTTAAATGGACTCCAGAAGATGGTAGAGGACAGGAAGGCCTGGAGGAACGTTGTCCATGGGGTTGCGATGGGTCGGACACGACTTCGCAACTAACAACAACATAATACTGTATAATTTGATGTTTAAGCTGCTTCCCACATCCTGCTGCTGTGCACAAAGACGTAACTACATGGATCAGTTACTTCGATCGTCAGGAAAGAGAGCAATAATTAGTGTGCAAAAATTGGGGCAGTCGTATCACTTCCCCAACTTGATTGTATTGTTCCTTTGCATAGTGTTATATGTCATAGACTCAAATCAGCTGGAGCTGTATGCATGACGCAGGTGATTTGATGGCAATTTCAAAAAACGGCTAATCTGCATAGCTTCTAGCTGTTCTTACACTTAAGCCAGGTTTTTTGCCTCTAGGGCAGGGGTGTCAAACTGCTGGCCCGCGGGCCAGATGCGTCATCCGGATGCCACGCCCACCCCATTGCCGGCAGTGGCAGAACCGTCCCGATACGTTGCACGATGTCATGTGACGTCACGAGTTTGATATTTCTGCTCTAGGGGGAAAAAAATAAGAGTGGGATCTTCTTTACCCAGGCTTTTAAGATGTACTAATAGTAATTTTAAGTATTTTTTGCTGTGTTTAGTGGTTGACATTATATTTAACACTGATATCTCCCTTTAGTACCCTAAAGAGGGAAAGACAGGATATAAATTAAAATATTTTTTTTCCTGTTTATAAACAATACATGTGCTTTGTTCTTTTTACCTTCAGGTCCAAGTATTTTTACTTATGGAACAGGAGCTCACAGCCGATGAAGATATCTCAAGGTAAAGTCACTGTGATTGGCTCATTCTTGTTTGCAAAGTTAAATGCTATCGAATGATATTCTGATATGTTTTATAAAAAGTTTATTTTATGCTAAATGAGAGGAAAAAACTTTTGCATCCAGACTGGATAACCTAATCCAGGAGTGGCCAAGGTTGCCTACCCCTGACCTAATCTTTACTAATAATAAACCACAATAAAAGAAGTCATTCGCCCCATTTACACATCATTCAACCAAATCTGACTCATGACCGGATTACCGGGGCATCTTGTCACAAACATCAAGTTATTTTTAGCCAAGGAACCCCGTATTATAAAATGACGAAGAAAAGCTAATAAATTGAAATGCACTTTTATTAGAGTTGTTTGTAATTTTTTATAAGATTATAAAAAAGCAAGCCAGCTACGTGATGCGTCTCTTTTTCCATCTGGTTTAAAAACAATTCTGCTGGTTGATCCATAGCCATACTCAAATGTCTGAACATTAGCAGTTTTGTCAGGGTTTGTACTTGTTTGCCCTCTTGCCTTTCTTCCCCAGAAATAGAAATAGTCATGAATACTCTCTCTCTCTCTCTCTGCCTTGCCCAATGGTAACATTTCTTTATTTTGTGAACTCCTTTCCCGTATGTTCAACTATGAGTGATATATACCAAAATTCATTTATCACTAGTATTAAGGCTCATTTACCTGAAGTTCAAATATAACATAAGACAACTTTTTTAAGGAAAATATTGTTATGATGGAAGGTCAGTATACATTTGCAAAGCACACCTGCAGCTTTTATATATTAATTTCATTTGGTTACAGAACTTCAGGTCCATCTGTTGCTGGGCTAGAAACAACATACACAGGAGGCAATGGGTTTTCTACATCATACAATAGTCAAAGATGGTTGAACCTTTATTTGTCAGCTTGTAAATTTCTGGATTTGGCCCTTGCTTTACCCTCTGATAATCTTCCTCAGTTTCAGATGTAAGTAAAATTCAGAAATGCTAGAAATATATTTGATGGGAGAAAACTGTACTGAAAGGGATGCTGTTGGTTTGTTGGTTGGTTTGTTTTTTTGTGCAGTCATAAAAGCTATCTTCTGCCTTCTAAAGATGTCCTCTTTTTCCTGTGAAGTAATGTTAAAAAATAATTCCCAATAGTTAGAAGGCAAATTTCAAATGAATGTTAGAAAAAAAAATTCCAATAGTAAAATTCCCAATAGTAAATAACTGCAACCAGTTATTGGGGTAACTAGTGCACATCCCTTCATTCACTGGGTTCAAACAGAGGCTCAACAGCTATCCGTGGGGATCCTTTAATTTGGATTTCTTTGCAGAGAAGGGGATTGCACGTAGTGGCCTAATTGTCCCCTTCCAATTCCACAATTGTGTAAAGCCCCAATAAGCACAGCTAGAGATACTTTTGAAACAAAAACTTCCCTGTCACCATCGGCTTTATTGCCATTTCACAAGAGGTACAAAATGTCGCCTTGAAAAATAGCAGACCTTCAGATCTGATCAAAGTTTTTACTGTATTAGTTAAAGCATTGTTTTTTTTCTCTGCATGTTAATGCCCTGGGCATCAATATAAGCCTGGATGTAGGCCTGGATATGAATACTTCCAGGAATGCAGGAAGAATTCTTTCCAAATCTTGCTTGATGAATATGCAAAGTAGTTCAGAAGGGAATTGTTCTCTTAACAGGTACCGGTGGGCCTTTATTCCAGAAGCATCGGACGATTCTGGGTTGGAGGTGCGAAGACAAGGCACCCACCAGAGGGAATTCAAACCATACGTTGTGCGATTAGCAAAGCTGTTACGAAAAAGGGCAAAGGTATTCCATTTTTTTAAAAAAAAATTGGTTCAGGTACTAAACTGTGGGTAAATTATAACTGCCGTTCAGATTCTAGGGAAACCTTAGAAAACTGGAATTTACATCCATGTGCACCAACAAAACTGTTCTTCCTCTTTACAGGCTGAAAGTTAAACAGTAGCCTGAGTTATTGTAGGGAGACATATAAAGTGTCAGGATAATTCAGGGCCGTGTGCTTTTTAAGCCTTGTCGTATTGACTGTTGCACTGCAGAACTTCATTTTTCTCCCCCACCCCATCGTTTGGTACATTAAAATAAGAGGAACCAGTTTAATTGAACGATTCGGTGCTCTGAATTGGAATGATTGGCTTTCTAACAAATAGACAAGTAAATACCACTGACTTTGATGAGAAAGTTTAGTTAAAGATGTTTCATTACCTTCAAGGCGGTAATGTCAATACTTGTGGGTTTGGTGGCTGGTGGAAATGTGCAGATGTTGAACTTGGGGAAAAAAAGTATCAAGCTTGGTTCTGATTGCTTGTCTCGCTGCTTACAGAAAAACCCAGAGGAAGACAGCTCAGGGAAAATTCTGAACTGGGAACCCGGCCACTTGCTCCTGACCCTTTGCGCTGTCCGCAGCATTGAACAGCTCCTCCCCTTCTTCCACGTCCTGAGCCAAGTCTTCAACAGCAAAGTCACCAGCAGGAGCATTGGCCATTCAGGGAGCCCCATGCTTTACCCAAACTCTTTTCCCAACAAAGACATCAAAATGGAGAACCAAAAGACACTCTCTAGCAAAGTGAGGCAAAAAATTGAAGAAATGGTTGAGAAGGACTTTTTGGAAGGGGTCATCAAGACATGAAATGTAAAGGGCAGAATATTTTATCTTATGTAATGTTCATTGCAAACGAAAGCACTCCATCCTTCCAGAGTATGTAATTTCCTTTTTCATACTTTGTACGTAATGTATACTTCAGGATGTATTTAATTTAAATACTTGTAAATAAGTTCTGGATGTGGCCTGAATCAAGTTGAAATATCACTGGCACATATTGATTATGGTGCCTAATATTTATGGTACATTTTGGTTTTGTCATCTTGAGGTCTGTCTTTAAGAAATCTTACAATAAAGTTGCACATTTTTCTAGTTGTATGTCTTCCTATGCATCTGGACTGCTGCACCGGACCGACCTTCTAAACATGGAATGAATGAGTAGTTTGCATATATCAATACTTGGATGAAGGCATTAATCAAGATGATGTTCTTTTTACTAAATTATCTTCACAAACAATGCTGGGTTCCGGGTTCACAAGCAAATAAGTGTGACATGGCAAACATCTTCAAGGAGTCACCCAAAACAGTTGAGTGCTTGTATGGAATGTTGTTTCTCTGGGAGAGTTTGGGACAGTACACTTCTTCATAACTTACAGCAAATAAGCTTTTTTGCTGTAACTTTCTGGTTGTACATGGTGATAATTGAAGTCTACTCTTAATATGGTACATTTATTCCAGCAGGCACTTTTCCAACTGGCTTAAACTGAAAGTCCTGTCATTCCCAGCCAGTCAGTCCCCATTTTGTCTAGGGATTATAGGAACCTGAATCCAACTGTAAGATTGTCATGATTGCAATTTTCTGAAAAGCTGAAATTTCAAAGACAGGAAGTAGAAAACTCCTAGTGATTTTTTTTTATAATAATAAATGTTGAGTATGCTTCAGCTAGTAAAGGTTTTATATGACAAAATTTCATGATTCAGATCCAAGCATGACATTTCATCAAACAGCCTTGGGTGGGTCTCCAAATCCACCAGCTAAATGGTAGACAGCCAAGCTGACTTCATGGGCAAGTTTATCTGCGTTCTCCTAAAGAGAAAAATATGAAATTAAAGTAAATATAAAATAAACTTAGCTAGGGTGAACGTTTAAATGTAATTCAGATTTTTCTGAAAGAATCCTGTTTTGCTCACTCGTTCAGAAACCACACATGCCACAGTCTCTCGTTTTAGTGTTCATCACTATTAAGGAGTTGGAGCCAATTTTAAATTTGTGCTGCAGTGAAGAAAATCTAAATAACTCATCATCCCGGGAGACATCCCTCTATGAAGAGCAGATTTTTAAAGAAGGCTCTTTTAAATCAAAAATGAAGCTCTGAAAAGAAGTGTTAAATAACCTGTCCCCCATCTGCGGCTTACATTTATTCCATGTTTGTGTTTTTTTACAAAATGTACTTAAATAGGACGATAACCTTCAGAAAAGTAAATGGAGAGTGTAATTAAGGACAGGTTCCTTTTTTTAGAAATATCCGTATTCTTCATTTCAGTTTTCTGAAATTGTTCGACTTGAAAGACAGATGAATTCAAATTTCTCTGCTTTTTTCCATCAAAAAAGCTGCTAAAAACATAGCAGCACGAAAATACTTCAGAAAACCAAGGAAAGGGAAATAAAGATGATTCTGAGCAAGCAACAGAACCATCTTCATTTCTCTTCTCCCCAATAAACTCAAGAGAAAAAAAAAGGAACAATGGTAAAACTTCAAGAGGACTATGTACTTTTGCTTGCATACCTACGGATTATAGCAATTCACTTAGTTTGAAAATGTTACTGACAGAAAAGGACTCCCCTTTCGTATGCTCTCGAAATTCTTCCCAATTTACTACACAGAGACTCTAAATCAGGGGTGACCAACCTTGGCCATTTTAAAACTTGTGGACTTCCAACTCCCAGAATTCCCCAGCCAGCCATGCTGGCTAGGGAATTCTGGGAGTTGAAGTCCACAAGTCTTAAAAGTTGCCAAGGTTGGACATCCCTGCTCTAAATGAATCCCATCCATTCTGACCTGGGAGTCAGCTTCGGCATAGACTCTGACTATGTCTTCTGTTCCAGATGGACGAACAAATGCCCGAGCCAATTTAAACTTCTCAGCCAGATGGTCGATTTTTTCCTGCAGCCCTGGAGGTGCAATTGCTCGTCTTTCAGCATCTGTCGTGCTGATGACTCGCCTATCGGCAACCTGCAAGTCAAGAGAAAAACAAGTAACATAGTCTGACCTGCTAAAATTGCAACTGGTTGTATCAAGTCTCCAACGAGGAGAAACCAGGAAGAGAATTTGAGATCCAAATCTGAGGGTTGCTATGAGCTTTTAATGTAGGGGTGTCAAACTGCCGGCCCAAGGGCCGGATGCATCATGCCGAAACCATGCCCACCACGGCGCTGGCAATGGGGAAAAAGTCACGATACGTCACGACACGTGACGTGGCAAGTTTGACACCCCTGTTTTAATGAGAGGTTCTATGATGCTAACTCCAAAGATGTAAAAGAAATTTAATAATAATAATAATGATAAAGTTGGAAGGGACCTCGGAGGTCATCTAGTCCAACCTCCTGCTCAGGCAAATGGCTGTCCAATTTCTTCTTAAAAACTTCCAGTGTTGGCGCATTCACCGCTTCTGGAGGCAGGTTGTTCCATTGGTTAATTGTTCTAACTGTCAGGAAGTTTCTCCTTAGTTCTAGGTTGCTTCTCTCCTTGATCAGTTTCCACCCGTTGCCTCTTGTCCTGCCTTCAGGCGCTTTGGAGAATAGCTTGACTCCCTCTTCTTTGTGGCAACCCCTGAGATATTGGAACACTGCTATCATGTCCCCCCTCGTCCTTCTCTTCGTTAAACTAGACATACCCAATTCCAGCAACCGTTCCTTAAGATTGGTTTAGCCCTGCAAGATTTTTATCATTTAAAGATACTCATTATTCAAGTGCTTCAACGTGATAAAACCACAGTAGACTCTGTCTATTTCTTTTGGCCATCACCCTGTCTACTAGATTGCTGAGATGACTTAAGATATTCAGAGGACTTATTGGTTCAACTTCTCATCTTTTATAGGAAATGTACCACGGCCTTTATTTCCTTTCCTCCCTGCAGCTGCAGCTGACATTACTCATTTTTCCCCCCTCTGGTTTTTACATCTCTGGATCACTTCTATCGAGGAAAAAAAAAGTTTAATTTTTTTTTGCACAGATGGTTACAACCCACTTAATTCTGGTTCCCAGCTAACCTTCACTTTGAGCTGTCGGTTTGGAAGATCCGTGTACAGAGCATCCCACTGTGCAATTGTGAGGTTCTTCAGCACCAAGATGGCTTCAATCACAAGCATGTCGGAGAGAGCATCACCAACCGTCTAGTGCATAAGAAAAGAAGAAAAAGGAAAGAAAAACAAATGGGAAACACCAATCTCTTCCACACCTGGATAACTGAAAATCTCTCATACAGATACTTCATAAAACATTACGGATTCTAACCCTGGGTCCTACCCTTCTGATTTCACTGTTTTCCAAGCACTAATTGCAGGATCTTGCTTTGCAGATGAGTTAAACTGGTAGTAAAAGTGACTCAGATTGTGGTAAGAACAAGCCATGTAAGGAGCTTTTGCCTCTACATAATTTATTCTTTAGATCAAAAGGATACTACAGAAAGCAAATTTTTATTCTTTCCCAATTTGTTTTGTTTTTTAACTGATTACTAAACTCTGCTTTGCTTATTGTTCACAAAAAGTTTTTGTTTGAATGAACCTAATCTGCAGTAAAGCTAAATGCTTCTGAGACTAAAATCCACACAAAAGCCTTTTAGATGCTGGCTTTTCACGAGCACCAAAGTATAATCATGCTCCCATATTTGCTTCTCCCACTTCTGCTTCTGCTGAATCGGGAACCGACACCTGAAAATATAGTCACTCTTTCAGTCAGTGGAACAGAATAGAGATTATGTCAGCTAAGTGATTCAAACCACACCAGTACAGAAAAATGGCTACGGAGCTATTACAGATAATTTCCAACTCTTACTGCTTAGGGGGAAAAAGAACCCTACTACCTATGGGATCTTACACTATTTAAAAGATACATCCTACTATTCTCTCACAGTTTTGCAGTATCATAAAAGCCTCGCAGATTCTCCCAGTAATCTTCAACTGCATGGGATCACTGCATGGGATCACTAAGACTACACTTATATAAGGCATCTCAACTAAATTTTAAATTACTAAATTTTAAATTACACCTCTAAATGGTGACTCCTTACTGATTTGAAATGGTATACTTTTGAGAATTTTAACTGATTTAGAACAAAAAGAAGAACGGTATATACTCAGTGACTCAGATGGAGCCTAGATTGTTAATTTTCTTCAAAATACCTCCACTGTGCCCTTTTCAAGACAAATATTTGGAAAGCTTCGAATTTCTTGAGGTAAACTTCTTTAGCTTTGCTGATTTAGAAACCTAAGCAGGATCTTTCCTGAGTGCATATCTGAGAAGACAAGG